GGGGGGGCACACATGCCAAAGCCAAATCCTGGGTGGTGCTGAGGGCTGTAGGGAGGGCAGTGGGGAAGCAGGGTGGAGTAAATCCAAACTTCAGCTTAAATGGGAGCAGCCCTCAGGCTGCTCTAAGTTGCGCCCACTGGTCATACAGCCAAGGAGGATCTGCTTTAACCGGGTGATGCTGGAGGCACTTGTGGGTATACTTTTTCTGTTTTCAGCACACACCCGCCTCTCTGGGGGAGCATCTCTGCCCAGCTCACCCGGATGAGCTTGGTGGGGCTCATAGGAGCCCAGGAGTGGGGCAGCTTCAGGCTGCAAAATTCATGCTGCCAGCTCTGAGCTGCAGGGAGGGAAAACCATCCCACCCCACGGCGGCCCCGTCCCGTGCCCCATCTCACATGGCTCTCGAACACCAACTCATCTCTAGTACACCTTCTCCAGCTGCTGACCATGCAAACCCCACTGGTTTGGGGGTTTTAAATTATTATTTTGGGTAGGAAAAGGGAGCAAAGGGAATGATGGAGAGAGCATGTTGCTTCAGACCTCTCAGTAGAGTGATGGAGGAAAAACCTCTGATACAAGAGGCTGCGTCTTCTGACATGGGCTGGTTCTTCTGGGCCGCAGCATTATTGTTTGCTCCCAGACCTTCATCCCCCCATCCACCAAATGCCTGGTAGGGAAGGCGGGTGGTTAGAGGATAATTGCCCAAAATACATTTCTAGCTGGGAAAAGAGAAAAAGAGCAAAGATGGTAATTTGAGCAGAAGGAGGGCTGTTAGAGAAGGGAGTGGACAGTCCTCCCAGCTGTGCCCACCATGGTCTGGGTGGAAGGAAGATGCTGCAAGTGCAGGGGGCTGGTGGGCTGAGTCCCTGCTGGGCTTTGAGGAGGGAATGGGAATAATTGGGATGTCCTCTGATGCACAAAGGAGGAGTTGGTGACTGGGGCACTGTCCTGCTGCTTTCTGCCTCAGGGGTCCCCAGGAGCAGCCTGTGAGTTGTGTGAATTATCCCAGGGCAGGATCTTGAGCATCCTGTAAGTCGTTGCTCCACGTCAAGTCATCGCCCTCGCTGCTCCCACAAGGCAGTTGATGGAGGTGGATTGAGGGGGAGCATGGATCCAGGACCACGCCTGGATCTCCAAACTTGGGATGGGCAGGATTTTTAGTTTAGCTCCTGATGGAAACATCTCCAAAAGCACGCTTTTCAGCTTCTATGCTGATACAAAAGAAAGCCAACCACAAAGCAAAAGAGTAGCTGAGTTTGCAGAGAGCCTGAAACACCTGCACCAAAAGAGATGAAATGGTTGTTCATCTCAGTGAGGCATTACCTGAAACTCCCCGCACACACCCCCATGATGATGGCAAGCTGTTCCTCCTGCCCTGCAAGAAAGAAGAGGAATAGCACTGGTGCTCCTCAGAAATATGTCTCCTCTAGTTCTGTCCTGAATGCCAACTTGGTCACTGTTAGACAACTGCCTGTTCCTGCCAAAGAGGAGGTTGTATTTTATTGATGACTGAAGTGTCCTCATATTTTGGTTAGTTTAGGTATGAAAGATGCTTGATTTGCCCAAGATGACGTCTACTATTAAAATGTAGGCTGCTATTATTGATTATTAATGCAGAGCGCTTTCTCGATTGAAGCTGGTAGAACTAATCTTGTCTGAAGGGAAATTTGATTGATTTTCTTTTAAATCAAAAAAGAAAAATGCTGGAAACATCCATCTTTCTCTTAGATTTTTCTCACATAAAAGCCTGCCAATGTTATAGGTTCTTTAATGCCACAAACCAAAACCAAAACAACGGAAAAAAACCCTTTTGGCTGTTCAGCTTTTGATGAAGCTCTCTGTAAAAATGCCAAACATGACAAAAGAAGCTCCCTAAACCCCACATATCACCTCAGGTTTTCCAAGTGGAGAAAAAACCCTCCATCCATTTCCCAGACAGCCCCGCTGGGGCTATCCCAGCTCCCTGGCAAGTATTTTCTACCCAAAAGCAAATGATATGATGCAAATTGAAAAAAAAAAAAAAAAAAAAATGCCTCACAAGAGTCGGTGGGATGAAACCTGCGCAGCATTTTGCTGGATTGCCTTTCCTGCATCCTTCATCCGAACATGTCCCTGCATTGTATTTCCAGTGAGCTGGGGTGCATCCCTGGGATGCTCCCTCCAACCCTGGCCTGGGGCATGGGCAGACGAAGCCACACACAGGTAGCTGTAGCCTCCAGCTGCCCTTCACATCCTCCACCTGGAGGGTTCCTCTCCTTCAGCAGGATGGGGCAGGCATAGAATCAGCTTGGGAGTCAGGTAAGGAGTTTAAATTTGGCTTAGAGGAAGCATGGGATTGTGGTAAAACAGTGGGGGTCTGGGAAACACCAATTCTGGGCTCGTTTGGATTCAGCCAACCTGTGTGAGCGGAGGTTCGTCCTTTCCTAGTTCACCAGCTGTAGAAGGGGCACCTTGAAGAGGTTTTGTTTTGTTTTGTTTTGTTTTTCTTTATTATTTAATCCCTGACATAAAGATTTAAAAAAATTACTGTTGAGTGTAGAATAAATGCTCGTCCATGGGGTTGATGGTGGAGCCCAACCTGGAGCCACCATCCATGACCCACAGTCAGGGCTCGGGCTGCCCAGGAATTGGTGGGAGTGAGGATGTGGAAAGTTTATTGCACAGGGAACGAGTGGCTCCACAATCAGCTCTGCACAGCAGTGGTCCTGCAAATCCACACAAACTGCCAGTAAACAGCTGCTCTGGAAACCGGCTTTTGTTACCTGATTATCACTAAACTTGATTAACAACAAGACAAGAAAAGAAAAGAAAAAAAATAATAATCAAAGCAAGAGAATTTGATTTGAATTTCATTGCATGTCTGTGCAGTCTCGCCTCCCGCACTGCTGTAAACGCTGGCCTATTTTGAGGTCTTCCCGCTTTCATCAAAATTATAAGCAAAGACCTCAAAACGGCCCCATTTCCTCCAGCAGCGGCTGCACAAGGCACCCAGAGATGAAATGTGTCAGCTTTGCCTGCTTTTTAAATCTTGTCACTGTGCATTTTGCTTGGCTAGCGTGTAAATTCCTTGAAGTTTCAGCAAATCCCAAGCGGATTGGCTTCTAAAGAAAACCCAGTAATAGACTGATAAAGGATATCATACAACCCAGCATATATTAGTTTGCAAAGTTCTTGTCTTGGATATATAGAGATGTGCTCTAGAGAGGGTGCTGAGTCTGGAGATGTAACAGCAGGGCTTGGTTTTCTCCCAGCCTAGGGGACATCAAGTCTGCTCTCCCTCCAAAGCCCCTTCCTATAGCAGGATGGATATTTGGCAACACCCCTCCAGCCTGCCCCCAACCACCCCTGAGCCCCGATCTTCCAGCCAGGCTCATCACTTCTTGATGTGCTCGGCCCGGGTAGGAAGGAGTCAGGGGTATCTTTTGGAAGGACAGCACCAAAACCAGCTCTGTTGTACCATGGCCCAGTGGGGTGACGGGGTTAAAAAGTCCTTTCCCATGCGGTTGCATTGCCTTTGCATTCATGAACGTCGTCCTGTACCGCTGCCGGGTGTCCGAGCAGCGTAGGCGGTCATGGAGAGTTTTGCTTTGTTTTTGTAAGACCAGCTGAAGAAAATACAGAGGAAAACAGGAAAAGAATAACTCAGTGAATGAATTCAAATTCATTTTATCAGGGAGTCAGGGGAGAATACTTCAGGCTTTGAATTTATTTAGCAGTCAGGAGGGGAGGAGGAATTGGATTTTTTTAAATTTTATTTCCACCTTCTTCCAACCTTGGGGGAGGATCTGGAAGAGGGAAATAATCAGGGAAGGGAAAAAAAAAACCACCCTCCTAATATCTACAATAAGATTGATTGTCAGAATGAAATAATGGCACAGCAGAGGTAAAATTCTCTACAGAGATTTTCCTTTTTGGCAGAAAAGCCAGTTCTTCCCTTGAACATCTTTCATCCATACAGCTGCTGCTCCCTGCTACTCTGGACTGACACAGTTTATCCAAGAACAATTAAGAGGTGATGTGATCCTGCCTAAAAATGACTACAAATTCCTGACAGCAGGCAGGTTTGAACCAAAAGGCTGTAACATAAAAGAAATCCATATGACTAGCTAAAGGTTTTTTCTGGACTGATTGAGACTGAATAGTGGGCAGAGGTTTTTCAGTGGGAACGTTGGCTGACAGTGGCCAGCTCCTTCCTGATTTATTAATTTACAATTGTAATTTACCAAATAACGGTTGGCACAATTTCTTAGTCGCACGAACCCTCTCAATCAAGACTGGGGATGGTTCAAAATTACACCCTGTAGTCTAACCAGGAGCTGATGGTTGATGCAGTCTCCAGCTCCTTTCAGTCAAGCTGACAAGGTAACTCCTAACCCCAGGCATCAGGATTTGTGAATCTGTGGGTGACCACATGCTTTTGGGATGTCCTACTCAGAGCTCCTCTCATTTCACTCTCAAGGAAGGGCTGGAATCCATCACTTCAGAAGGGAGCAGACTACTCCAGCTCTTTGTCTCTCTCCTCTCTTGGTTTCCAGAGGTCATCTCCAGTAGACGTTGCAGGAACCTGTAGGTTTGTCCTAATATTTCAGGCTGGATGGAGAGGGATGGGGTGTGCTGCTGACAGTGACGTCTCCCGTGGGTGCCAGTGCTGCAAGAGGCACACACACAGATTCCATTGGCTGAAAGAGGGCTTGAGTCTGTCAGTCTTAAGCTACGGCCCACCACCCGATCACTAGCTTTGCTTTCCGTGCCCATCCAGACACATCATTAAGTCTTCCCAAAGGCAGGATGGCTCCTTGCTCACACTCTGCCCCAGGGGCATCTCAGCTGCAGGTTGTATTTCTTCCCAAGCTGCCTGGAGAAATAAGAGAAGGGTGTTGTCCTTCCCACTGCCCATTAAACACTGGTATGAGTCTATTCATTTCATCAGGAGTCAGTCCTGACGTAGCCTTGTGCAAGTATTACTTTGCGGATCACCCACCCCACTCCTGGGCATTTCCTGGGCAAGGCAACAGTCTGGAGTGAGTTACATGCCACAGCTGGAAGTTGTTGCACGTTCTCTGTCCAAACCAGTTCTGGTAGAAAACTAAGCTTTTAAAAACATTTTTATTCCCCAGGAAACCATGTGGAGGTCGGACTGCGCTCAGCAGTTAAATGACATCTCATTTCATGCATGGGGTGGTTGCAAGAAAGAAGGGGGGGGTAGTTGAAACAGGGTGTTTAGGCAAGAGAGCTGAAGGGGTGTGAAATGTGTTTCACAAAAGATACTGCAGCTGCAAGTCCCTGGGTACGTTTTCATTTGGCAAATTCATTTCTTGCCCCTTGCCAGGGCTAAAATCCTGCTGTGATGGAACACTAAAGGCTGAAAACAACCCAACAGCACTCGCACCTTGCAACCTTCCTAACCCTTTGCAACACCTCTTTTTTTTTTTTTTTTTTTTTTTTTTTTTTTTTTTTTTTCCAGGTATCTGGGGATCACTCGGCCACTGACGTACCCCGTGAGACAAAACGGGAAGCTGATGGCCAAGATGGTTTTCATTGTTTGGCTCCTGTCTGCCTCCATCACTCTTCCTCCGCTTTTTGGCTGGGCCAAGAACGTCACCGTGGAAAGAGTCTGTCTCATCAGCCAGGACTTTGGGTACACAGTCTACTCCACGGGGGTTGCCTTCTACATCCCCATGGCGGTCATGCTCGTCATGTACAGCCGGATCTACAAAGCCGCCAAGGTCAGCGCCGAGAAGCACCGCTTCATGAACTTCCCCAAGCACTACGAAGAGGAGGGTGTCTACTGCCTGGAGGCCTCCAGCCGGAGCCACCACAGCTCCAAGCGTACCAAAGCGGTGGAGGAATGCGCCACCCTCTCCAAACTGCTCCGGCAAGACCGAAAGAATATTTCCATCTTCAAAAGGGAGCAGAAAGCAGCCAGGACCCTCGGCATTATCGTGGGGGCGTTCACGTTTTGCTGGCTTCCGTTCTTCCTGATGTCAACGGCTCGGCCTTTCATCTGCGGCATCCGCTGCAGCTGCATGCCCCTGCGGCTGGAGAGGACTCTGCTCTGGCTGGGATACACCAACTCCCTCATCAACCCCTTGATTTATGCTTTCTTTAACCGGGACTTGAGGACTACTTTCTGGAACCTTCTGAGGTGCAGGTACAGGAACATCAACAGGAGGCTCTCTGCCGCCAGCATGCACGAGGCCCTGAAAGCCACAGAGAGGCAGGAATGCATCCTGTAGAGCTGTGTCCTCTCGCTCAGTGCCTGACCAACGGGCTCCTGCCTCTCCATTTCAGGTTCCTTGCTTCTCTTGCCTCTCGGGGTTGGCAGAAACCATGCGTGCCGTTGTCCCCCCTGCCAGACATCGCCGCTGAGAGAGACACCCCTTCCCCTCACCCCGGGAGGAGCTGTGGTTCTCCTCTCCTCGGGAACAAGTGGGCAGCCCTTCCTTCTCACCATGGTCCAGGTGGGAAGCTGAAAAGCCATGAGCAAGACCAGGGGGGGTTCAAGGTCTACCACCAACTGTGGGCAAGTCACAACACCTTTCTGTGCCTCAGTTTCCCCATCTGTTAAAAACAAAACAAAAAAAAAAAAAAAAGAAAGAAAAGAAACCCTCCAGCAAACAAAAGTAAAAACTAAAACCTTGATAAGACTGTGGCTCTCCACCTTCAAAAAGGGCTCTAAGGTCTGTGGAGGCCACACAATATACTATGTAAAGATGTCATTGGCTGCACTTCTCTATTGAATATGACAGCAGCTATAGGCTCCGTTGTAGATCCAAGCACTCATGCCATCCCAGCTTATATGAACTCCTTCCACCGACGAAATTGCGTTTTACACACTGAGCTCGTGTCCAGGTTTGCACGTCAGAGCAGTGATACCAATGACCCCATTTCCCCTCATGCTGCAGCACTTGAAAGTGGCAAGCTTGCAGAATGAAACACAAATAAATGAACATGAAGTTTCTGTTCTGGTTGGATAGGAAAGTCCAACGGCCTCCTCATCAGGGCAATGACCAGTGAGCAAAGACAGTTATGTTTATTGGGTTGTGCCGTAATTCATTCTCAGAGAAGTGATGTGTGTTCATAATTTGTGGCTAATTGACTCCATAAAAGCACGCTTTAGTTGACAACAGAAAAAAAGTATATAATTTCTCTGACAGCTTTACAGTGCTTCAGTATGATGTCCAGCAAGCTCGAAAAAAATACACTAAATAATGTATCCTTTTTTTAAAAAAAATATATAGTCTGGTTTCCTTATTTTTGTGTAGATTCTTTGGTCACTTTAAAACATCTCTTTACTTTTACGTGGTGGTGAGACTCATCTTCCCGCGGTCCACTTTGCTCCTGACCAACCTTATTACATCAACCTTCCTTTGCAGCCCCATAAACCCTTGCCCATTTTTAGATGATGCCTGCTCCATGGGGTCAGTTGTTTGAATATCTACTCTCCGGGTTTTCTTGTCAAAATTAGACTGTTCAGAGGCTCAGGAAAGGGGTTCGTAGCCCTCCCTCCACTACAGATTTTCATTATCAAGCAAGAGTATATGGGTGGTGGTAGTCCCATCTCTTGCAACACCACGCAGTACGATGCCTCCACACATAGCTAAGTTGGCTGTTGGATGTCTTGGCTGACCGATGGCATGGTTTAGCTTAGTAATCAAGATTTCTCCCGTTAAATCATTTGTGGTCTCACTTCTCCTCTTTTTAATAGACATTTCTATCCTGTTTCATTTTACACTTTTTTCTAGAGATGCCCCAAAATGTCTCCAGTTTAGACTGGTTATTCGCAGCAGGGAAACGGGCTCAAGCCCACTGGGAATGTCCTAAGGGACTGAGATGTTCAGCATGGGAACAGCAATGTGTCCAGATGTTCTCAAAGCTCATTTCCTCACAGCTAGATCAGGAATTGCACATAGGGGCATGGGAGGTGGCTGTAGCATTGTACGGGTCTCCAGCGGGAAATGCTTAAAGATCGGACAGCAAAGGGATTTGAACAAGGACTTAGTCAGGAGGGATCCTAAAGGTTTAGCTGGAGCCCTGTATCACATCCTATGCCACACAGGAGCTCTTTGAAGAGGAGCGAGTGATTCTGCTAAGATGGTTAACAGCTTTCTATTTGTCTCCCATGGTTTGCTACCTATAGTTATATGTTGGTGTTGGGTTTGTGCAAGGATGCCTGGACTAGGCTGTCTGCTGAAGGCAGAGCATTGCATGCCTTGCCGCCAGGTCTCGCAGCCACGTTGAGTCACAGAATTACAGAACCGTCTAGGTTGGAAAAGACCTTGAAGATCCTCCAGTACAACCATTGACCTAACACTGACAGCTCCCAACTCCAGATCCCTCAGCGCTGGCTCAGCCCGACTCTTTAACCCCTCCAGGGATGGGGACTGCCCCCCTGCCCTGGGCAGCCCATTCCAACACCCAACAGCTCCTTCTGCAAAGAAATCCTTCCTAATATCTAGTCTAAACCTTCCCTGGTGCAATTTGAGGCCACTACATCTTGTCCTAGTCCCTATTCCTGTTCCTGCCCAGGACCCCCACAAAACCCAGCCTTGCTGAACTGTCTGGAATGCATGTCAGCTTTAACAACCTGTCCTCTACCATTCTCCCAAAGATGGATGCTATTGCCCAGGGACACTTCAGTGGTGTGCCTGGGGTGCCCTGTGGTCTTGCATCCTGCAAACCAGAGACCCCACCAACACAATGAGGCAGGTGAAGGCATGAGCATACCCTCACTCTCTTGCTTTCTCACTGCTGCTACATGAACTGGTGCTAAACCTTGCCACAACCTCTCTACTTTCCCTTGACAGTGTATGTTCCCCTTGGTGCACTTGCTTCTCATCACCCTTCCCCAGCTTGGTTGCAACTTCTCACAATGCTTCTCCACCCAAGCCTGTAGAATAAGTCCCCATGGACCATTTCTCTAGGGCACGGTCTGACTGCCCATCTCAGGCCCTGCTTAACAAAAGCAACTCTTTTCCTGCTAGAAAACACTTTGGGCCATCATCTCCTCTGTCACAACATTTTAGCAGCAGTGGATCGCTGGCTCTGGCCTGCCATAGGGACATGAAGTTCCTTCAGGGTCCAATTTTTTTTTTCCCTGGGCTCCCCCAGCTCCTTCCCTGCCATGGAGCTAACGGTGCCCTTTAGACAGAAATGTCTGGATTAAAACCAACCAGCTGCTAATTCAGACTGCCTCATCAGGATGTGAAAGCCCCAAGACAGCCCATTTCATATTCAGCACATAACAAAAGAGTCTGGTTTGTTCTGCTGCAATATATTTATATGGCAAAGGTCACAGTGGCGTGGTTTTACTGATTTTTCTGTATTAGAGGTTCTTAAACTGCCTTCAAAATTCATAATCTTGTTTAATTCCACTTAACATCCTTATTCTGATGATATTTCTAGCACTGTTTAAAAGTATTGTGCAGAGCACTTACGAAACAATGTTTGACCCTTTTAAATTAAGACAAGAATACTGTTCTTTCTGGTTTGATGTCTGGTTTCCAGAATAAAGAGTAGGGGAAAGAATATGATTCTGGATGATCCAAACCCCCTAACTTCTTCTAAGCAAGGAGTCATGCTAAATGGTTCATTTGTCTTAAAAATCAGTGTTTTCTTTACCTTGGAACTGAATGCTTTGTTTCACTCAAGATTTACCTGATTTTTTTTTTTTTTTCTTCATATTTTCATTTTAAGCTGTAGCTGTGTTTGAAAGAAAAGCTTTGTTCCCAGAAACAATTCCAAAAGTTTGCATCCAAAAATTTAAACATGATAGCTTCTCTGCTCAAAAAAAAAGAGATAGCTTGCATGATTTTTCCAGTAGTGACTGTCTCAAGCTGTGAGACATCAGCTTAAACTCTTGCTTTTTAACTCTCCAAGATTAAATTGTGCTTAGGTTAGATAAAATAATGTGCATCCAAAGACACCAAGGCCTTTTCCACACACGAGTGAACACCAACCATTTAGTTAAGACAGCCCAGATCCTTGTAGAAGAGCCTCTAAATCACGCTGAAAATACTCTGTAGGGCTTTTTTTAATCATACAGAAATCATTGCATTTGGCATCTAAAAAAAAAAAAAAAAAAAAAGGGCTTAAAATAAACCTGAGCCATTTTGAAACTGATTTTAGTGCACATGCGTGTACCTAACCAAACTATGAAGATTTAAGAGAAATTAGTGCTCTAAGAGTCCATGTTTAGGCAAAAATCTGAGCTCATGGAGGAAAGTGTTAATTTAGCTGGACAAGAGAAACTTTTGTGGGCACTGAGAGAGTCCCAGCAGGCCAGCAGCAATACAGTAGAAAAGAATGAGGAGCTTCAGGCAGAGAAAATCGAAGTAAATTCAGGCATAAAACAAGTAGGTCTCAAGTCAGCTTTTTATTCCGCTCCGTGTGCAGGGGAAATACATACAGAAACACGGGCGGAAGCAATCTGGGGAAGGAAAAAAAAAAAAAAAAAGCAAGTTTTGACAAATCCCTACAGGTTGCCCCAGCTGGGGTTTGGAAGTTTTTGATAACGACACTGAGCAAAGCCAGGTGAGATCAGCTAGAGATGTAAGGGAAAGCCCAAGGCGATAAAAGCCTGCATGTCTCTTCCCAAAGAGCTTGAAACCTTCCCACTCTCTGAAGTCAGCACTTTGTGGATGGGTTAGGCTGCCCGAGATGAGTGTTGGAGATTTGCACGGACAGCTCAGCAAACCCACCGTGTTCTTCATCTCCACTCGGGTCCTGCCATCTTTACCTTCTCCCAGTGACAATGTGACATTGAGACAGCTGCACCACACCAGACTGGAGGCTGCTCTAGCCCAGGATCCTACCTCGAGCAGAGACCAGGGGTGGATTCTAACAGATAGAGACCAGCAAACCTGCTGTGGTATCCTTCCTCATCCCAGCAATTAAAGGTTCCGCAACTTCCTGAGCCAGAAGTGCTCTTGTAGTGTTTGACAACCTCCAACGGGTGCTTCTCTTCTAACCTATTTATGTTTTTCCCACACTGCCATCCTGAGACAATGAGTTCCATAATTTAATTACTTTTCAGGTAAAGAACTATCTTCCTTCACTCATTTTGAACCTGGCACCTGCTAAGCTCATTAGGTGCTGGCTAATCCTTGCGTTAGGATGGAGAATGAGTGATCATCCCTATTCATCCTCTCCAGGCCTCTTACGGATTTCTAGATCTCTGCCACATTCTGCTCTCTGAAATAAAAAGTCTATCCAGCCCATGAGTCCTTCTCCAACAGTAGACATAAGGAAATACCTTAGGAAGAAGATTAGGACAGCCTGGGGCATATGCCTTCCCACCCTCCACTACTTTCAAAGCATCCAACCATTTTTAGTTCAGGAATGTCCCTTCTTAGACACGGTTTCTGTGCAAATCTCAGTGTAAGCCCCTGCTTTTGCACAGGCAAATGACAAATCTTGCATCTGGGACTCAAGAACCCCATGTAACAGCATAGCCTGGGACACCTGACAGAGCAGCACCTGGTGCCCAGGGCACTGCTGTATTTGGCAAGAATTATTGACTGGTTTGAATTGGAAGGGACCTTAAAGATCATCTAGTTCCAACCCCCGGCCCCGGGCAGGGCCACCTTCCACCAGCCCAGGTTGCCCAAAGCCCCATCCAACCTGTCCTTGAACCCTTCCAGGGAGGGAGCAACCACAACTGGGCAACCCGAGAAAGTGATGAGAAGAGCTAATGGTGGCCAACCAGTGCCGTGAGGGGGATTACGGGGAAGATGGAGGCAGACCCACTCAGAGAGGTGAGGCAGTCTCCTTCTTGGGAGATATTAAAGCCTCAGCTGGATCAGGCCTTGAGCAACCTGATCTATGTCTGAAACCTCCAGGTTTCCCTTCCAGCTTCAGTATTCTTTGATTTGGATGTTTTGTCTACTTTTCCACTCAAGCTCACGTAACTATTTATCATCCATATTTTTGACAGGACAATCTACAGCTCTCCTACCTGCCATGTGAAAAAGCTCCTCTTATTTTGACCCTTCTAGTATGATTTAAGTTGCACGTCTAATAAAACTGGAAGTCAGCCACATGACACTTTCCCCCTGTGTTCTTATGTAATAAATGGTTTTCCTTTGCTTGTTTTATTGCCATTTTAATCGGGACATATTTCATATTCACTATGCAAGACCTTCAGTTGCCTGACTCTACTTCTTTTCTCCATTTTACACATCAGTGAGATAGAG